GTAAAAAACTCTTCATATTAATTTGGAAAAGTTAAAGGCTTTGGTGCCATTTAGAGAATATCTTCATTGAGCACTACATATCTGAGAAGAAACTTAGATTAAGATGCAGTTCAGTGAAAATAACCGCAATGCAGGACATCATGGAAATATTGGGTGAAATCCCAGCCCCATTGAAGTCAATGGCAAAACTCCCATTGACTTCGATGGAGCTGGGATTTTACTGCTTGATTTTAATTAGTGACTGTCAGTGATTTAGCATATGGCAAGCTGGTGTGTGTGTGTGTGTGTGTGTGTGTGTGTGTGTGTGTGTGTGTGTGTGTGTGTGTGTGTGTGTGTGTGTGTGTGTGTGTGTGTAAGATTCTACGGCACACTAGCATGCTGCGCATTAAGTAGCTGTGTACACCCTGCTGCTATGTACAAGTTCCATAGTATGCTTTGATCTACTATTGTTTGAAACCAAAGTATTTCAACCTTTAGACGATTTAATGTCAGGATATAAAACTAAATTCCTCAAAAATAATTTGGAACCGTGTTTGTTCTGCTCTTCACAAATAAAATACAGCCACTGTTTTTATATTATTTGATAAACTAAAATTACATTAATCCAGAGAAAACATGAGGAATGTGGATAAAGGAATTAAACCAATGATTTTGAAGGTATCTTTAAAAGTGATGTTTCCTAGCAGACTCTGCTCACCTGTAGAAGTTCTGTAGACTGAGACAGGCCCATACTGTTATTTTCAGATGTGTGGTGAATATTCTGAAGACGCCTTTGCACTTCTTCTTCAATTAATGCATTTATTCTTTTAAAAAATGAACAGACATACAATAAAAAATTTATTCATAAGACAATCAATATGGGTATTTTAAAGCGTTCTTTGAATAGTTTATTCATCTTAAGCATTGTATAAATTTTAAATATAAGAACATTGTGGACAGACTTTATTGGCCCCCAAAAAGTTATGATTTTTTTCACCAGTTTTTCTTTAACTTAAAAAGGCAAAAGAATTAATAACTGACAATTAGTGGACCCTTGGTTAAGCATCTAATAAATGTCTCTATTTACATGCTGCCTTTGTATTTTACGTTTTTTTTTTTAACCTAACAGTTTCCTTTCATGACTTTGCCAACACACACACTATAAATAAGCAGACTAACAATATTTTGGCCTGCAGACACAGTGAAAGTTTCAAAAGTCTATACTAATTATTATATGCATAAGTGTAAAATGAAATGAAAGAGAAAATAATGAAATTAATTTGTTTAATGTTTTGCTATGCTGCTTCCCTTAATATAATTTTATTTATTTTGTCACTTTTAGTATGCAAAGGTGTAAGTCATGCAGACATTTAAGCAAATCTAAACAATTAAATTTAGGAACAATTTAAAATAAATATAAGCCTAAAGTTTCTTCAGGTAGTATTCTAATACAGCATATATCTCAGAGAAGCCTACTGATCATAAAAAAACATTTCAAAGTGGTAAAGGCAAAGCATGTTTCTATCTAGATTGCAATTAAAGGACCATTTTGATAATTTACTAAATAAAGACCCAATCTTGAAAACACTTATGCAGAGTTTGGAATGTTTCAGTGATACTTTAACACTATTGTTTAAAATCATATTAAGTCTGAATAAAATCAATATATGTACCTGTCATCAACCAGTGGAATAAAATGGGACTGTGACTTTGTAGGGCTGGTAGGGGAATTGGTGAGAGAGAGTCTCTCCTCTACTGTTCCATGATACCCTTTTTGTACACCATCACCTTCATATATCTTCTGCTTCAGCTGTTGAATTTCCTGGTCCAGTCTATAAGTAGATTTTAAAATATATTTCAAAATCTATGTTGTTCAAAATAAGAAATATGTCCATCTGCAGTGTTTTAAATTCCCTACTTACAACACACTGATTCCCAAGAATATTTGCATACAGATAAGACTGGAGATAACTAGGTGGTGGTATAATTAAATCAAGATCTTACCCCCTATGGTCTTTATGTCTGTAGTCATAGAAATACTAATAAATGTTCTTTTATTAATGCATATTTAGATAGTGACGTATACACTTATCATCTGAAAACCAGACTAGAATAGAAGCATTTTAGCTCAATAAATCAACATCTGTAACTTTCAATGCAACTAATGTCTCAGCTAGCTCATTAAAGTTAGATTGATTCATAAGACTTGGCCTATTAGAACCACTTGAAAAACCTTACCTCATTTTAGAACTCCATCAATGATTTTAATTATTCTGCTGCTAGTCTGGAAAAATTGGTTGAACTCAAAAGACAATACTAGAGTCAGAAATGAAGAAAATCTAACAACATGACACAGAGTCTATTTACAAAAACACCCTAAAAATTGCACAATAATATATGTAAATCCCATTATTTGTTCAGGTATCTTGTAATCTGAAAATGTACCCTTTTAAAACACCATACAGAGTTAGAATTTATTTTGAATGACTAATAGATCATTTTCCCCAAACACAAGTTTCCTCACATTCTCAAATATATTTCATATGTCACAAAAGCTGATGTATGCACATAATAAGTCGCTCACATTCTGGCTGAGTATTTTTCTCTGAAAATACTTTAGACATCAAGTATTACAAATAAAAACACTTCCGAGCATATTTATTGTTTTCGTATAATAAATTTTAATTCAACTAAGTAATCTGCATCTTTCAGATATATTGTAGTTTAGACTAAATTAGCTTGTATATTTCCATGGATTGGTTTTGTAGCCTTCCCTGCTTATTGTACAACTTCTGTCTCTAAGGTAGCTTTTTTTTTTTTTAAAACAACCTGTAATTTAAAAATAAAAAACACAAAAATGAAAAAGATCAATCACTGTGAATGAAAGGGAAATTATACAAATTCTGATCTTTGCAGATATACATGATTTTATAGGTTCACAGTTTTCAGTCATATATCCTCAAATGTACAGTACTGAGTTTGCTCTACACCAGTGGTGGGCAACCTTCAGCCCACGGGCCACATGCGGCCCATGAGGGTAATCTGATTGTGGGCCACGAGACATTTTGCAGATGTTGACTGTCCACAGGGACTCATAGACTCATAGACTCATAGACTTTAAGGTCAGAAGGGACCAATATGGTCATCTAGCCTGACCCCCCGCATGATGCAGGCCACAAAAGCTGATCCCCCCACTTTCCCTTAACTCTGCTGTTGAAGTCTCCAGATCGTGATCTAAAGACTTCAAGTCGCAGAGAATCTTCCAGCTTGCGACCCCTGCCATATGCTGCGGAGGAAGGCGAAAAACCTCCAGGGCCACTGCCAATCTACCCTGGCCGTCACTTCCCGCAGCTTCCATTGACCAGGAATGGTGAACCGTGGCCACTGGGAGCTGCGGGGGGGCCATGCCTGAAGACGGTCAATGTCAGCAAAATGTCTCGCAGCCCGCAATCAGATTATCCTGATAGGCCGCATGCAGCCCTCAGGCTACAGGTTGCCCACCACTGCTCTATACACTCTGAGTTCAGTACAGAAAAATAAAAATGGGGAAGGAACGTGGTGGATTGGGGATGTGATAAATGAAGTTCTATGAAACAGAAGTATACCTTTAGCACCATGGCCAGAAGCCACCATTTCCTTTTGACCAGAAGATAACAAACCTATTCAGTGTGGGGGAAAATCTTGAGAGAAAGCTGATGGGAGACTGTGATACTCTGGCTGTATTCATCTTTCTAGATCCACTAACTCAAAAATAAAACAGCCCTTAGGGTGATGTGTTCTTCCTACTGCATTAGGGGTAAATGACAATACTGTACCAACTGAGACACAATTTTGTATGCATTTTAACCCTAGCACAAGTTCATTTGCTGTAACCATTGTTTGGCAGTCTTTATTTTCCCGAAATATATCTTTACAAATAGGTGAGAGAATTTGGAATTACAATTAATTTAGTAATAAGGTATGAGAACTTGAGAAAAATAATGTGTATCCAACTTCAAAGGACTGACAGCTCACTGCAAACTGATCACTTATTCCTAGACTACTTTAACTGAAAACTGGACTTAACAGTTTTGTCTAGCTAATACAGATTGGAGCCTCTCCTTTCATATCCTGATAGCCTGACGAGACACCACCACAGAGATCATATGCAGCAAGATGTCATAAAATAGACAATGCAAGACATTTTATTGCTGGTTGGGATTTAGACAGCATTTGAAGCTGCTGAAAAACAAACAAATGACAATATCTACTAAACAATAAAAAACAAAAACATTGTGTGTGGCGCATGTATGTGTATAATTTATTATGCATTCCTGAATGGAGGTGTTGGACAGTACTCTGAATCCATTTTACTATGTGCTGTACTCTGAAAACTACAAACAAAGTACAATATGAGTGTCCTGAAGAATTTACAATCTTACTTAATTTAATCTTAAGGTTCTCTTACTCCATGACGCTCAAGAGAAGTCAAAAACAGTATTTATATATCTATGCACATATATGGCATATACTACATATACTACATGTACCCCAATCAATACAGTGGGCCTGATATTTTTACTCAGACCACTTTATACCACCACCTCTGTGTTAAATGGTCTTAGACAGGGAGGAGGAGTAAAACGACCCCTTTACATTGTCAACGTGGTTTAAAGTGGTGATAGTGCAAAGTGAATCAGGACCAGTATCTTCACTTAACCATCAAAACTTTCATATTACTAAACTAATGGAGAGAGTTTCAAAAAGTACACAAGTGATTTAAGGGAATCTGTGGTCCTAAATCTCTCCTTGGTTACCCATGTGATCTTGAAACTGTTATCTTGTTTTCCTTCTTCAACCAATCCCTTTCCTATGGTTTATTTCCCTCACTTGAAAACTCTTCAGGGCAAGAACCACATCTTTCTATTTTCTCTGCAACTCTTATTTGTAGCTAACTACAGATGTTATAGTAGTCAAGTTAACTACTTAATATATACAACTATTCTATATTATCCCCAAGGTAGGGACCAAGCTTTTCCATTTGTTCTGTAACGTGTCTTGCACACTTTTGGGAACTGTTAAAATTATTTCTTGTTGTAAAGTTACTGCTTTTAGTATGCTCTGTAACTGCCAAGCAACCAGAAGGACATTACCTCTATCCCAGACAGGCTATTAGACATTTAACTATAGCAACCACCTCCAGTTATGATGCAAAACTGTTTACATTAATTAGCCTGTTCAGAGAATCTGAGCAATTTGGGCCTCAACTTGACATAAATAGTCTAATAAATATTCAGTACATTTGAGAATCATTTACAAAATCAGAATTCTAGGCAGAGATATAAAAGCTGTAGGCAACTATATATGCTTCATAAACCTGAGCTTAGCTGGCTTCCATGTTAATCTGTATATATATATACATATATTGACACAAACTGTCAGGTTGCTTAATTGAATAATAAAACATCAGTGTTACTAAAACAAGTACAATGTAAGTAGCTACCGAATGCTCAGAAAACAACTGAATTACCCATGTACAAAAGATGGCTAGGGGATGTAAAAACATATCAATATTTAGTTCTTAGAAGAAAAGCTATAACGCAAACCTGCTAAATTACATATGCACCTACGGTAGACTTCATAAACTGATATCAAAGTAACTTCTTCCAGAGAGGAGGATGAAAAGGAACTCATTCTTTGAAATAATGATTTGAAAAAAACAATAGAGAAGAGTCAGTTTGGCTACAGGTAAATGTTTATCTGACCTATTCAGTGTGAATTATTTTCTAAGAAAGCAGCAGTGTAAAGTGTGGGAGAAAGGAGGATCAGATAATTACTTTGAGTTTCAAAAAACACAAATTTTCAAGACTCTCTCACGAAAAAGCCATTTTAAAGCCATGTTCTAAAGCTTTCCTTTTATCTCCAGACAACAATGATAATTATTATTATTTTTTTTTTAACTGCAGTAGTGCCCTTCTTCCACACAATATGGGCCTTATGCATTTAATTCAGGCCCTAGATACTGTGAAACATTTCTCACTTTTTGAAAGGCAAAAGTTTCCTTAGCTGAATTCCCTGTGTTTGACCTCTTCCATACTTCATCTAAGTGCTGGGGTATAGTCCCAGCCAACAGATGAAGATAGAATATTAAAAAGTCTATTGATGACATCATTGTGACACTCTGTACCTCAAAGTAGCACCCTGGAACCCCCATATTCACCTCTGTGATATTATTATACATTTTGAACAAAGTATACCTTATGAGGTATCATTTTAAAAATCCTGATCTGCTGAACATTAATATCCTTGTATCATTGTATGGGAAGTTATGAAGTATTGCTATATGTGTTACTGCAATATGTTATGAGGTTGGGAACACCCACAACCAGCCTTTTTCAGTTACAACAATGGAGTAGCCATCAATAGCCAGACGGCATTAATGGCTCATCAACACGCAATCCACTATCCCAGAGACTTCTCGGAGAAGGCACGTACACCATTAGGGCAGACTAACCCACGTCACAGCCAAGATCTTTCCAGCAAGCTGGAAGAAAGTATACAAGAGAGACAGTGACACTTGGCCTCTCTCCCCCCATCTCACCACCTGGAAGCACGTCTGGAAGACAAAGGCTTTGAACTGGGGAAGTTTGATTTCAGACTGGAAGGCAGTCCCAGTTTATGTACTTAGGAACTATGACCTGCTTGTACCATCTGCCAGGGTGAAAAACGCTGCTTGAGTCAACTTTTGCTTAGACTAAACGTTTAGGATTTAGAGCGTGTGTTTCTATTTTTATTTCTTAAGGTGACGATCTCTGACCTTTATGCCTACCACTTATGATCACATAAAATCTATCTTTCTATAGTTAATAAACTTTTTTAATGTTCTGTCCTTACCAGTGAGTTTGTCTAAAGTGCTTGAGAAAGTGCTGGTGCATTTCCACTTTCCTTTGATGAAGTGGCGAACTAAGTAATGAATGTACACTGGCCAGGCTTTTGACCAGTGCAACACAGTACAGTTCTGGATGCATGACTGGGGAGTTGGGAGGAAATTGGCTGGAGCCTCCCTATTGATGGTTCATGAGTGGCTGGGAGATCATTCATGTAACTCAGCTGGGTGTGTCCCGGCCTGTGGATGTCTGTGTGAGTGCAGTGCCCTTCAGAGGCTTGTAGCTTGACGTCAGCATCATAGTGTGAGTGGCAGCCCAGGCTGGTGGGTTTGGATGCCTCAGTGGTCCTGTAGTCCAGATTGCACTCCGGTGACCCTGTCACAATCATCCCTTGTACATATAAAGGATTTGTCATCACATAGTACTGAGTGAAACTTTAGTAAGTCTACGAATAACTACAAAACCAACATAAAACATTACACAGAGACATATTGCCAGTCTTTCTAGGGTGGGGATGATTCTGGAATGATACAGAAGATCTTGAAAAAAGAAAATGAACAAACTAAATTTTCCATCTCTCCTTGATGCTGCTTTACGACAAATCAACAGTGATGTACACTGTTGCCCACTTCATAGATTTCTACTCTCTTTCTTCTCAAGAAGACCCTATTGTATCTTATTGTATGGGCTTTAGAGCTAGGAAGAAAATCTCAGCTGCATTTTTAATCATCTCCTTAATCTGTTTGGAAATTATCTATTTAGAAGCTGCCTGATTTTTCCTACCAAAGGCCCTTTCTGAATAACTAAACTCTGCTATTTGGCCAAGAATGGAGGCCTTTTCCATTCTGTTCAACCTTTTATTCTCTATGGACAAATGTTCTGATAGGCCACTTACTGGAGACAAATAATTGTGTTCTGTGAGCTGAAGCATTATATGTGGGGTGATGTCATCAAAAGATTGTTATTCTGTCTACATCTGATGGCTGTGAAGAATTATATTGAAACATCTTGACTGGCACAGGAGATCAAGGAGAGAAAAAGAAATATAATATTGGCAACATAGGTTTCTATATATTTGGGTAGAGGTATTTTTATTTCCTCTTCCTCAGGCAATGGAATATGAAGACTGCCTTTTGGCTTCTCAAAGACAGACCACCAACGTATTTGTTGTCTTGAGCCAGGTGCTACAATTATCAGTTACATTTTCAATGTAGGTCAACATTTTCTTTTTTAGTATCCATCTTGCCCTCCCAATATCTCACTATACACGATCATCATAGGATTCAATTTCTTTTTAAGAACACAGAGTTAAGAAATAGTCAGCATGGATTTGTCAAGAACAAATTGTGTCAAACCAACCTAATAGCTTTCTTTGACAGGGTAACAAGCCTTGTGGATAGGGTGGAAGCAATAAATATGGTATATCTTTACTTTAGTAAGATTTTAGATACTCTCTCGCATGACCTTCTCATGAACAAATTAGGGAAATACAACCTAGATGGAGATAGGTTGGTGGGTGCATAACTGGTTGGAAAACCATTCCCAGAGAGTAGTTATCAGTCAAGCTGGAAGGGCATATCAAGTGGATCCTGCAGAGATTAGTTCTGGGTCCAGTTCTGTTCAATATCTTCATCAATGGTTTACAGAATGGCATAGAGTGTACACTTACAAAGTTTGAGGATGATACCAAGCTGGGAAGGGTTGCAAGTGCTTTGGAGGACAAGATTAAAATTCAAAATGATCTGGACAAACTGGAGAAATGCTCTGAAGCAAATAGGATGAAAGACAATAAGGACAAATGCAAAGTACTCCACTTAGGAAGGAACAATCAGTTGTACGCATACAAAATGGAAAATGACAACCTAGGAAGGAGTACTGTGGAAAGGGATCTGGGGGTCACAGTGGATCACAAGATGAATATGAGAAAACAGCATAACACTGTTGCAAAAAAAGCAAATATTCTGGGATGTAATAGCAGGAGAATTGTAAGCAAGACACGAGAAGTAATTCTTCTGCTCTGCTCTGTGCTGATTAGGCCTCTACTGGAGTATTATGTCCAGTTCTGGGCTCCACATTTCAGGAAAGATGTGGACAAATTAGAGAAAGTCCAGAGAAGAGCAACAAAAATGATTAAAGGTCTAGAAAACATGACCTATGAAGGAAGGCTGAAAGAACTGGGTTTGTTTAGTCTGGAAAAGACAAGACTGAAAAGGGACATGATAACAGTTTTCAAGTGCATAAGAGGTTATTACAAGGAGGAGGGAGAAAAATTGTTCTCCTTAACCCCAGAGGTTAGGACAAGAAGCAATGGTCTTAAATTGCAGCAAGGATGGTGTGGCATGCTGTGGCTCAAAACGGTATCCTGGCACCCCCATATTCACATATGTCATATAATTAAAATATGTTTTGAACAAAGTATGCCTTGTTGAGGTATCATTTTAAAAGTCTTGACCTGTTAAGCATTAATATCCTGTTGGATTGTATGTGCTATCATTGTATGGGAAGCTATGAAGTTTTGCTATGTGTGTGTTACAGAAATATGTTTTAAGGTTGGGAACACCCACAACCATCCTGGCAGGTACAACAATGGAGAAGCCAGATGCTGCTGATGGCCCATTAAAGGGAGTCCACACTCACAACAACTATCCTAGGAACTGTATACAATAGGAACTTCTCAGAGATAGCATGCGTAGACAATGGAGACTGCTTGACGCACGTCATAGCAAAGGCTCTAGAAGAAGCTATAAAAGAGGGGAAGTGCCATCATCCCTTGGCTTCACTTCCCCCACAACTCCACACCTGGAAGCACATTTGGAGAACAAAGATTTAGAACGGGGGAAGTGGTCCCAGGCTGGAAAGAAGAATCCCAGCCTGTGTATTAAGAAACTATACCATCTACCAGGTGAGACACTGCTTGATTCAAATCCTGTCTAATTTATAGAACTCAGTTTGCGATTTTACTTTTATTTCGTAAATAAAACTTTGATCTGTACGCTTATCACTTATAATCACTTAAAATCTATCTTTCTGTAGTTAATAAATCTGTTTTATATTTTATCTAAAAACAGTGCATTTTGGTTAAAGTGCTTGGAAAATCTGCTCAGGAACAAAAACTGGTGCATGTCCTCTCCACATTGAGGGAGGGGCAGACTGGATAATAAACTTATACTGGTCAGGCATCTGACCAGGGCAAGGCAGTACAGCCCTGGTGTCCTATGCTGAGGAGCTGGGGGAATCGACTGGAGCCTCTCTATTGTTAGTTCATGAGTGAACTGAGAGAAACATTCATGTAACTCAGCTGGGTGTGTCCCTGACTGTGCATGTCTGTGTAAGAACAGTACCTGACAGAGGTTTGTGGCTTAGCAACAGCATCACAATGTGATAGGAAGCCCAGGCTGGAGGGACAGAGGGCCCAGCTATACCCCAGTTCCAGGTTGCACCCCAAGAAGACCCGTCTCAGGCGGTTTAGGTTGGACATTAGGAAAATCTTCCTGTCAAGGGAGTTAAGCACTGGAATACATTGCCTAGGGAGGCTGTGGAATCTCCATCATTGGAGATTTTTAATAGCAGGTTAGACAAACACCTGTCAGGGATGGTTTAGATAATGGTTTAATCATGCCATGAGTGCCGGGGACTGGGCTAGATGACCTCTCAACATGTCCTTCCAGTCCTACAATTCTATGATTCTATGAATGTTGACTGGCTGGTGAGGGGATAAATTAGTTTTTTGTAGGACTCTTTCATTAGGGTGTTTCCAACATGAGCTTAGTCTTTGATTTTAGTCTTATAGTAAATTACCAAGTATTAAATACCATGTCTGTTTACTCCTAAGACAAAAAAGGTATGTAAGAGGATGTTAAGCCCTATCAAAGAATTACTGTTTGACATTTACCATACATATCAGTTCCCAACTTTTATACCATTTTACTTTGTCATGATAACTAGATGCTTTCTAACTATTCTCTAGTTTTCAATTACAATGACTAAGTAGCCTTTAGTCAGTGCCGCCAAAAGCTATGCTTTATCCGATCAAGATGAGGTACCCAATACCATGACCGCATTCCTTCATTTATATTTTATTTAACTTGATTTCTAATTATTTTTAAAGATGGAAAGCAACATCTATGCATGCACTTAAACCACTTATGAGAATTGTTTCTGTATAAATATAGAATGTGTGGTTGGCCCCTTGCTCAGCTGAGCTTTCTGGATAGGAAAAAAACATGTTCAAATAAGGAACTTAAATACTGTGATAATGGACACAAATACTCTGCTGATGAAGACGGGATAAGTAGCTGAACAGAACTTAATAGAAAAACAAGAAATATAGGCTTTAGAATGAGTTCATAACTATACCCTCTCACTTCTGGGGACAACCACCTTACATGCACTGTGGAACTGGAATACTAAGAAACAGAGAAGTCTCTTTTCTACAATCTAAAATATAGGCAACACACACTTCTTTGCGTACAGAGTCTATTAAATTGATGTTCCCCGTAATTCTCACCTTTCTCTATCCTGTTCCAGGGCTTTTTGTTCAGCTTCTAGACTAGCCTGCAGACCTGCCTGTTCACTGCAGCTGCTGTTCAGAATTGCAAGTTTTTGTTTTTGCTCTTCAATTTCAACGTCTATTGTGGAACTACGCTGCAGAGCAGAGTGTCTCCTTTCCAGCTTAGCTACTGCTTGCTCCAGTGCCTCTCTCTGCTGTTTTTCCCTTGATTCGAGAATTTCTTTTTCTTTTTTCCGAACTTTTTCCTCCTGACGAGCTATGTTGGCTGTAAATTCAAATGTTTCTTGGAGCTGCTGCAGTTGGTTAGTGCTCACTCTATATTGCGCAAGCTGTTCTTCTTTTTCTTCCATTTCTTTCTCAACTTGATAAAGAGTATTGTCTAACCCTAGCAGACCTCTATCAAGGACTTCAGAAGCTCTCTGTTTTTCTTCCAACAAAGCTGGCAAGTGATTATGCATTAGGTATTGAAGCTGGCGCTCTTTATACTGGAGCCTGTATTCTGCTGGCTTTATCTTGTCAAATTCTTCAACCATCAGTGCAGCATCCACAACATTTTCATTGTCTTTCTTGAGGAGGTTTAACTGTTCTTTGTGTGCATATTTTAAACGTTCCAGAGTTTCATGTTCATCTGCTACTTCCTTTTCTAGATGATCCCTTTGTTGAAATAAGTCTTTCTCCAAAATAGTTAATTGTTCTAACTGATTTCTTTTAAAATCCATAAAATTATGCTGTGCTTTTTCTAATTCTTCACTGTCTTCGTCACCTTCAGATCTAGCTTCCTTGACCCTCAAGAGAGATTCTCTAATATCTTCAAGTTCTCTTTTCTCTTCTTCAACCCTTTGCACATCCCCTCTTTTGAGTAGCTGTATCATGACCTGTTTCTCTCGAAGCTGTCCTTCTAGGTGAGCCACTTGCATCACCTGCTCCCTTTCTTGTTCTTCAAGCCTCTTTTTTTCTAATTCCAGCTTGATGTACTGTTCATCTTTTTCCTTTTTAAGTTTTTCTAGTTCTCTGAAAATCTGCATTTTCTCAACTTTTTCATTATTATTAAGTTCTTGCAAGCGTTGCAGTTCTTCTTTAACTCTAGCAAAAATTTCTTCCTGTTGTTTCGTTTTCTGAAATTCTATCTCCTGATGTTCTCGTAGTCTTTCTTCTTCAAATTTCTCTTTTTCAGCCAGCAAGTCTTTTAACCTGCTTTCAATGTGAACGCTTCGCTGTTTCAGGCTCTCTTCCTGTTTTCGTATTTCCAGTTGTACTATTTCTGTTTCCTTGCGCTGTGACTCCACCTCTTGCTGCATTCTTTCTAGTTCTGCCTTGTCAGATTTTTGTTTTTCTTCCATTTCTTCTATCAGTTTCCTAAAATAAAATATGTACAATATGTATATGAGATTAATACCTTCAAAGCATTCTTTCCCTTTCCCTAATATGGTTAATATTTTCCTAAAAGTTAACAGGGTTTGGAAGAAGATCTAAGAACACATACCAACTTGAATTGTTTTGTTTAAAGATGCAATTTTATTTCAGCCTTTTTTGATTTGCCTCATGTTAGTAACATGCCTTCATAATTTAGTAGCTTATATTTAACTCAATTTCTGGAGAAAAACATAGTTATCAGATCCAAATTACTTCGAGCAAAGCTTTACCTGACAAGCAGATACACTACAGTATTGACATATACTGAACTATCATTAAATTATCTTTAAAATGAAATTACATTACAATTCATGTTAGTAGTAGAAGCACTACATGTTTAAACCACAATAACTCCATCCAATGCAATAATATTCATTAAATACACACTGCATGACTGCACTGCAGAATAAGATTCAGGCATGAACACAATGATTAGATTAAAAATTCACATCCTCCAATCTTGTTTGAGTCAATTGTTTTAATCCATCAAATTTCACTCTTTTAGGGAACTTCCTCTTGTAATTGGCACATTTGGTTGGAAGTGTGGGCATAGCTGCTGTCTCCTAGAGACAAATTGTCTTCTCTTTCTTATACAGAATATAATTCTCCTCTCACAGTCTCTTTGAGGGCAGGAGGGGAGGGGGGTCAAGATTAATTAGGAGGGAGTGTAGAAAATGCCAAGCTACACATATCTGCATAGTGCAGTGGTCTGAAGATTAGTATAATGACATTGTACAGCCAGTCATTTAGGCTTGAATAAGTAAAATATTCAAACTCAGACAAAATAAGAGAACAAAAGAAAATATACAGAAAACAGACAACAAAATCTGAACTCAAATAATACATATGCCTTCATATATACTCAACCACAGTGAGTATAGTGAGGAAGGATGGTACAGTGGTTAGGGCTTGGGCTTCAACTCCCTGGACTTCCTGTGTGACTTTGGGCAAGTCATTTTGCCTCCCTGTCTTAGTTTCCCATCTGTAAAATGGGGACAATAGTACTTACCTACTCCACAGGGATGTTCTGAGGATAAATTCATTAAAGATTGTGAGGCACACAGACACTGAGATTATGGGGGGCATAAATACCTCAGATGGGTAGTAGATAGAAGTTACCTTTTACTTTCTAATTTTTCCAGTTCCTCTCGTTGTTGTCTCTCAAATTCTAGTCTAATTTAAAAAAATGAGGAAAAGGAGTGTCATTTCTTGAAAATTACAAAACAGAAATAAAGCATGGTACATTTTACATCATGGTGTCGGTTTTAAAAGTTTACGTTAATATTGTGGCCTGGCAAGTTTTATAATAGCTTAATATGCTCTATAAGAATTGAAAACATTTCCTTAAATATGGCCACCAATTAGATTCTGTGCTGCTGGGCACTTGTATGGAAGCTGAAAAGTAAATGAATTTCTGGGAAGAAACTATTTAAATAGTAAAGTTAAACAAGACAGATAAATGATTAGCACAGCCTCTGCAAGTTAACTATATGCAGACATGGCAATCAATATATAGAAATTGAGTTTCTCTACCTTAGACAGATTGGTCCTTTTACAGGGAATAGACTGCCACAGGAGGTAGAGAGAAACAAAGTGATCAATTAAGAAAGGAACTGATAGAAAAAAAGGCAAGAGAAAAGCAGTGAAGAATATTTTAAAGTCAACAACCTATCTACAAAACTAGCTTTTTAAAAAAAGCAAACGCTCAGACCATTAGTTTTGCTTTCTGACATTTGTTAGGTTCACATTCTTCAAGCAACAGTCAATCACATTGTAACTCTAAACTAAACAGCTATTCACATAAATTAAACAGTTATTTTTCCTAAGCATGCTTTTCATATGCCAATGATTGTTATTCAACTTTCATATTCCTTTGGCTTATTAACTGGGCACAAATTTGAGAAAGCTAAAAGGTATTTGAATTTCAAAAGGACCTAAATGGAGCAGGAAAGCTATTTTTTCTCCAAAAAAGCAAATAATCATTGTAATTCAGTCGTTCTAATACAGCTAACAAAAAGAACATCAGGCCGACATAAAATGAAACATGGTATAAAACCCCATTTCAGGGCATCAAAATATTTGGATTAACAGGGTTTTTGGTAACTGAGGGTGTTGTTGGTATTTTTAATACTGCTGGGAATATTATGTAACATTAGAAGTGTCAGGTGCCTGAAGCTCTTGAACAGAAGTCTTTCCTCCTCCCCCCCCCGCCCCCACACTATTTAAATCTAAATAAAATAAAACATTGGTTAAGAGTCTCATGCCCAGGAGCATCACCTACATTTTTATAAGAAATATTTTCATATTAAGGACTCAGTTAACAGTATTAGTATAAATACATAACATATGCTTTTATTTAATATTATTTTCTGCGAATACAACTGTCCACCACAGAAAGGGAAAAAGAGGTATTGTATGGGGCAGGTGCAATTAGAAGATGGAATATACGGTAAGCATCTACTGTTTATATTTAAATACAAAGCTAAAAAACTGGATTTCTTGTACTCTAGGCACCCCTATCAATCAGTTTAAATACAGTAGAAATCAACAACAAACCGCACAATACTCCATACACATAACTTTATGACTGTGAAACGAATTATAACAAATCACACTTTCTGTAGGTATCAACCCATGGGCTACGATTTAGTCACGGAGGTCGCAGAAGTCACGGAATCTGTGATTTCCAGTGACCTCCGTGACTTCAGCCTGAGGTGGTCGGGAGCTCCAGGGTCCCCCCTGCCTCAAGTGGGGGGAAGGGAGCTGCAGGGTATCCTGGGTGCCTCTGGTGGGGCCCCCAAACCCCTGGCCACTGCGAGCGGTGGGGGAACCCCAGCTGCTGGTGGGGGTACACCTGAGCCCCCAGCAGAGGACCCCCGAGCCTCTGGCCACCGCAGGCAGTGGGGGAATCCCCGAATCACCAGCCACCGCAGACAGCGGGGGAATTCCCCGAGCCCTTGGTCACTGCGGGCCACCCTGCAGCTCCTGGCCAACATGGGAGGCGGGGCACCCCACAGCTCCTGGCCCCAACGGGCAGCGGGGGACCCCTGGAGCTGAGGGCGGCATGGGTAACTCGTAGCCCCCAGCTGCTGCAGGCAGCTCCTAGCCCCTGCGCAGCTGGCCTGCTTCAGGCAGTGTGGGGACCCGCAGATCCCTATTTTGTCAGGTATTTTTTTAGTAAAAGTCACGGACAGGTCACGGCTTCCATGAATTTTTCTTTTTTGCCCGTGACCTGTCCGTGACTTTTACTAAAAATATCCATGACAAAAATCTTAGCCTTAATCATCCCTCATCCTCAACAGCTCCATTAAAGAGGATAAGCATGCCCTAAACGTCAACAGGTTTGAGTTACTGTAGGCCAACATGAGGAATAGAATCCTCACAAAGATTATCTCACCAATAAGCCACTTGTGTTCACCTCAAGGGGATGTCTACCTAGTGTGCCTCTGCTGATCTCAACTTCAGTAGTATGGTACAGGAAGAGAAGAGGTCTCTCCAGAAGACAGACCTTAAGCTACTTAGCACTTTATAGGTCAATGCCAACACCCAGAACTCCATCCATAAACACACAAGAAGCCAGAGCAGATCACGAAACACTGGCTGTATATGGTCATGATGGAACACTTCACTTAGGCATGTTGCCATATTCTGCTCTAGTTTTAGCTCAGAAATGGGGTTAAATACAGCACAATGCTGCCGTCTAGTGTCAGGGTAATAAAAAGGATGAATTACAACAGTGTAGTCTGTAACAGAAAGAAAGGATGCAACCTCTTCAAAAAATGAAAGTGAAAAGTTGCCTTGGGTACCAATAAAAGATGACCATCCAACAAGAACCAGGAATATAACCAGACTATCGGATTGCGGACAAGGTAATACAGTGGGGAAGCGTGCCTGACAGATACTGAGAGACATAAATTTGCTATATTTCTCATTGCCTTCCTCCATTTCACCTCTGTTTTACCAGGTCTGGTAAACCTCAGACAGTTAACTCCCAGTCACACTAACACCTCCACCAGACATGGGAAAGGAACTCAACCGCACTGTCGGGGTCATACTACATACAGCTAGTAAACTGCATACTAAAAACAACAACACAACCTTATGCTTCCTTATTGGTGGACTCATATACATATTATTCAAAGGAGAGGACAAAAGTGGACTTCGGGGAACTTCATACAAGAGCAGCCTATAGGTAGAAGAGCAGTTCCTCTTTGGACCAAGCCCACCTAAAGCAATACTATCAACTCTTATCAAGATCAAAAGCATGTCAAAATAACTTTGTTGTCAATAGTATCAAAGACAGCTAAGAGATCTAATACCAGCATGAATACTTGGAGCCAGGTGTAAACTGGTATACTGGTGATTTCAATGGAGCTAGGCTGATTTAAACCAGCTGAATGTCTGGCATTTGATTTTCATGTATCACTAAGTAGTAGTTAGTACCCAGACAAAGGTCAGAGAATTCTGAGACATCTACCTGCTGTGACTTATCTTGCAACAAACTTGTCAGTAATCCTTACCACAAGGAGTTGTGATGGTTTCTTGAGCATAGGTAATACCAAAGACTCTTAAATGCATCAGATTACCAGCTTCTCTCAAAAGGAAATGTTGACAATTTCCATCAATACATGGGTAAGCATTTCCCTGCTGGCCTTCAGCAACTAGTAAAGACATGGATTCATGTTCTCCCAACACTTTCAGTACCTGAGAGTGCCACTGATTAAAACTCAAGCAGAGATGAGGTAACATTTGCCTCCTTGTGACAAAGATGCACCAAGTTTGGCCTGAATCAGAATGCAGTTTAACCATAAAACAACAATTTCCTTTCAACAGAAAGTACTCAAATCACCACTCAGGTGGACACAGCCAGGATTCACCAAGCCGTCTACAACCCAAAACAAAACTGACTGAGAATTTTGCAAAATCCTTCCTAGAGACAAAGAACCTCTACTTGCCTTCCCACACAACTACTGCATAAGAGTTTTTAAATTCTTTATGAGTTGATCAGTTTCCCTCCGAGCCTTCCATCATTGTTCTAGCTCTCATCGTCTCCTTCCTCTTTCAGTTGTTGCAGGCCATCTGTGAACCAGACGACTCTGAAGGGAAAGCCAGAGAGGGCAGTGTATATAGGCCACCTCATCAATGGTTAAGGATAAAAGAGTACTATAGAATTGCAAACCATCAACTCAGTGATCCATCAGAGGAAAAGCTTTCTCCCTCAGAGCCCTTCAAAAATGCTCTGACTCTATTAATTTCCCAAGAGAGACCAACGAAAAGGTCAGCTGAAGTTTATAGCTATTTGTTTCCACATCCCCTATTATTTGTTGGTAGCATTTGGAGTGGGTTAGGTGAAACTAAACTACTAAAATCAGCTTCAAATGCATAGAAAGTATATTAAAAAAAAAAGAAAGAAAGAAAGAAATTTCAGCACTACCATCATGTCACTGTCAATTTTACATGCATAAGCACAGTAACTTGCTTTTTTTCTTCATTTTTCTTCTTCAGTGAAAAAATCCTTATATTTCCTTAACATACATTAGTTATTAAAATCATGAATAGTATAATCAAAATGAAGAAATTCTACATTAACTTTAAAATAAGGATTAAAAGCTGCCTTTGTTCTTTTGCACAATTCCAACACTGGAATTTAATCTGATTTATTTGGAGTTAAATGGACATCATTATCCCTGAAAAAAATAAGACTTTCAGGACATGCTGCAGAGTAAATTAAGCCAATTCTTACTAGCACAATACTCCAATAGCTTAATTTAGGCAGCACAACGTGTACTGTTATTGATGCACAACTATGTAGGCAAGACTGAGTGCTGGTAAGACTACAAAGATGTTACAATACTAGTTTATTACCCCAATTTATATGCTTAATTAAAAAAGCTAAATCTATGGCAAGATCAAGGTTTCCTCATAAGTGGTTTTAAAGTTATAGTAAAATGTAACTTACACAAGATTCTCAAGTGAAAGCTTCAGCGTAAATCTATGAGCAAAAGCTCTCTTTTATCCACAGCTTATTAGCTGAAGTAGTGTTGAATGACACCGGATAAGAGACGAAGGGTGAAAATAAACAGAACAAAACATTTTGGACATTAAACCAAAATTTTATTTAATGTGGTACTACATTTTACAGATCGACAACAAGAGTAAAACTAGCCCTGCCTGAAGGCATCATAACCGAACAAAAAGAATCCCTACAAAATTCCTTAGGGAACTGCATTATTATACAAAAGGTTATCTCTTTATGAGGCACACAAAATTCTCACTGTATGAAAACAGCAGAGAAAGACCCATTTATATAGAAAACATGTAGAATGTACAGCAATCTCCAGTAATCAGTCAACATTTAGCAACAGTTACCACACAGTGTATCTCGGATAATGCAATTATAGCCTGTTTTGGATGGACTAATCTGTCTCAAGTAACACTGTTGGCAATTGTTGAGCTTTTGAAAAGTAACCACTAATTCAGACTACATTACTGTCATACTAGTAAACCTAGATAAAGTTCTGGCTCTGCTACAGAAAAAAACTAATTTGAAAGAGGTTTTTTTTTTT